GACAACAGCATTTCTAATTTAATTGCAGTTTTCCTTATCGAACTGTCTTTTTTGAAACAGCACACCTTACTTATTATGTAAGATGCTGAGTTAGTGGATACTAAAGCTGCCACATGACATGTTCTGTGACTAGGGCCAGAAAATAAAGACCAGTCTCTTACCAGCACTTCTGTATCATGCCTTTATTACACTGAATTTCCACAGACTTCAATGACCATATGTAGAATCCTGCAAATCTGTGGATATCCTCTTCATATCCACGGATATGCACAGACCATATTTGCAGATTGCGGATCTGATGTGGATACAAATTTTGTATCCGCACAGGGCTCTAACCATTTGTTAACTGTAATGGGAGTTGCAGGTGCTCAGCACCATTCAAGATCAGGCCTAAGGTGTGGCAAATATTGAAGCTTTGCATACACACCCTGTTGTGTTTTATGGCATCAGGGACAACCAAAAAGTCTTTGTATGTCAAGACCTGAGCTTAGGCCCTCAGATTTCTGTTTTGTTTTCCCTACAAAAGTTGATAACTTGCATCTTGACAGGGAGCTGCATTCCTTACACTGCTCCAGGTGTTTGCAGTGCTATTGATATTATCAGCTGCAGCAAGTGTAAAATGCAGAACCTGGAGGGCCCGAATTTGATTTCCACATATAAGTGATGGAAGAATTGTTTATTTTCAAGATGTAGGCCCTTGGTTACTTTGCACATCTGACTCTCAATCCTTCCTATGCTGTCAGACCTAGCTTAGGGCACAAACAAGGCTCCACCATCCTGGATATGAACCTTTTTGCAGGGTATTTCATTATGTTTCTATAACACTTTTTTTTTTTTACATTTTTTTTTTAACAAGAATAGGCTATTGGCCTATCACTCAACCCCTAACTTGGAGAACCAGCACGCTGCATTGCATCTGGTCCCTATCTTCTGACCTGTCTGCCTTTGGTGGCTTTACCAGAGCTTAGAACTCCTGCTGGCCTAGCCATCAGGGTCACTGGAACACTGAAGCCTTCCCAGTCTGTCCCCCAGGAAAGGCTGTATCCACATAAGTTATTAAAACATTAGAGAAAATGCTACAAATAAAAAACATATCAAGCAGAGAAGGAAAAAGGTAACTCTTTGGTGTGTAATTCATTTTTTCTGTCAGGATCAACTGTGGAGAGACATCAGTTTCACCGTAGAAAAATGAGTTAAAGGGGTCATTCAGAGGGGAACGAATCTGCAGCCTTGAAGATGAGATAAGAATTTAGCTAGCAGTATAAAAGTAGAATTTTCTAGTGAGAACACTAGTCACAAGAGAAAAGGGTGATTAAATAATCTCTATAAGCACCTTCCTCAAGACAGTGCATCAGAGCAGAAAAAGTGACTTGTCATATGATCTGTTGCTCTCTACATCATTAAAGAAAACACTCCACACACCAAGCTGGTTGTTTCAAGGCTGATATGTTTTTAGCCTGGAAGAAGAGAACATAGAGCAGCAGAAACAACTGAAATTCTTTAACCTTTCAGCTATGTTTGGATATTTTCTCATTCACCATCAATATGGGAAACATCTCTACAACCAAAAGCAGAGTGAAAACCAAGGGAAGGGACCCAGATGCAGAGGGAGAGAAGGCACAAACAACTCATCAGAGGAATCTTTGGAGTGAGTAGTTACTGATCAATAATAGTATGATGAGATTAGCCTTTCAATCACTGGGTCATAACATTTAGACACCTTATATATTGCTACATTACCAGTTAATCTTAAACATGATTCAGGATCCCCACATTCTCACTAGCCATGACAGGCTTGCCAGCAATCCCCATTCTGTGAACCTTTGGTTGGAAAAATTCCTTTTGTGCTCCTTTTCCATTGAGGAGCCTCTCTAGTGGTCAGGTTCCCCTTTGAGATCTGTCTGTGCAGGGAAAGGGAGAGAAGCTTTCTCCTCTTTTCATTTGTATTGAAACTATAAGTCTCTCTTAACTCTGTGACATTATAAACTCAATTGCAAGCTCAGTAACTGGGGAAGTTACAATTTACTTCATATCTCTTTCCCCACAGCTTGCTTTACTTCCAAAACCAAAACTCAAACCAGGCATAAAATAACTCTCCACCCAGGGTCTTTCCAGCATCATCAACTGGGAGGAGTCAGGATGCAGCCTTCCCCTTTCCTTTTTATAACCCTGTCCAGATCAGTTATACCGTAGGCAGGAACCTGGTAACCCTTCACATGCCAAAACATCTTTTCAGCTTGTCTCATATTCTGAATTAAGCTCACCAGTCCAGAACAGACATTCCATAGCAGTCTTACCAATTCAAACTAACTTTTGACATTAGAATTTAATCACCAAATTTTGATGTTAGACACAGGATCTCAGCAAGGGAAAGACCAGATTTTATTTTAATTCTCTCTTGTTTTCTGGGTATTTTTGTTTGTTTTGTTTACTACAAAAAAATTAGAAGAATTTTTGAATTCTGCAATCCTCTCTTTCCAAGCTGCCGAAGTTCTGGAACCCCTTATACAAATCACTTCAAATTTAATAGAAAAATTCTACCTTCATACCACAAAATTCTATTTTCTACCATCACTCTAAAATTTCTTTGTGTGTATGTGTGTCTAAAATCAGACTTATATTAGAAAATCTAAACTTAGAGTGGCTCCAATGCAAATCTGCCATTCTTAGCTATTTATATAACACCTGGTAGTATCTAAGAGCATGTCTACACTTACCTCCAGAGCGATCGATCCAGCGGGGGTCGATCTATCGCATCTAGTAAAGATGTGATAAATCAACCGCCGAGTGCTCTCCCGTCCACTCTGGTACTCCACCCGAGTGAGAAGCGAAGGCGGAGTCAACTGGGGAGCGTCAGCAGTCGACCTACTGCAGTGAAGACACCGTGGTAAGTAGCTCTAAGTATGTCGAGTTCAGCTACACTATTTTCGTAGCTGAAGTTGTGTAATTTAGACCGACTTCGCTCGCTCCCCCCACTCCCTCCCCCCCAGTGTAGACCAGGCCTACGGCCCAGATTTCAAACGCATTTAGATGCCTAATTCAATCCTCATCTTACAAAATCCACTCCTAACTCTGTAGAGCTTTAGAATGCAAAATGTTTGAAAGGTGCTGTACAACCCATCTGAGGTTTTGATTTTGTGGGGAAAGAAACCAGTAAAGCTTATGTTCCCATTCCAAGCAAGTCATGGAGATTGGAGCCAGTATGGGATCTGAATCTGGATTTCCCCCAAGTTCAAGGGGTGTTCTTAAGATGGGTTCCAATTGAATTCATCATAATGATAGGACTGAATAGAGAAGTTCAGATCCAGGTCTAGGTCTGGAACCCAAATTCCCTGAAGTTTGGGGAGATTTAAAGTCTCTGTTGCAATTTGCTCATCTCTATTTTGGCCAACTTTAGTTACTGTGGAAGTAATGATGTCAAGGGTATGTGGCACTTACTGACGAGACTGGGACTGCTCCTAAGCATCATCCCCTAACAATGCATCTCTGTTAGGAAGAGCTGGGGACCTAGGCCTGGATCTCTGAAAGGTGTACCGAAGGAGGGCCCATGTGGTGGGCCTTGGAGGTGGGGAGGAGCATGTTGCTATTAGGGAGTATGAAGACATTGGGGACGCAGGTGTCTTAGTGTGGGACAGAAGGGAATGCTTCTCTTTTGAAGTTGGCAAGCCTCCTGGTCAATCAAGTTACTAAGCGCTCTATCTTTGCAGGGAAAAGGGACAGAGCCTTATACTTTTTTTAATTAAATGAAATGTCCTTCAATATCCTGTACTAAATGTTGGAGCTGACATTCCCTATCAATGTGTCAAATTCAAAAGTTGTTAACTTTTGAAATTAGACTTCAGTCACTAAAAGTTTGGCCTGGGCACTAGATGTCTATGAGAGGAGTCTAGTACAGAGGTGGGCAAACTACGGCCCACGGGCCACATCCGGCCCACACGACTGTCCTGCCTGGCCCTTGAGCTCCTGGCTGGGGAGACAAGCCCCCGGCTCCTCCCCTGCTGTCCCCTCTCCCCCACAGCCTCAGCTCACTGTGCTGCCAGCGCTCTGGGCAGTGCAGCTGCGAGCTCCTTCTGGCCACTGCGGCGGTGTGGCTGGCTCCGGCATGGTAAGGGGTGGGGGTTGGATAAGGGGCAGCAGGTCCTGGGGGACAGTTGGGACAGGGAGCAGGGGGCAGTTGGATGGGGCAGAGGTTCTGGGGGGGCAGTCAGGGAATGGGGAGGGGTTGGATAGGTGTGGGAGTCCTGGGGGGGCTTGTCAGAGGGTGGGGGTGTGGATAGGAGTTGGGGCAGTCAGCGGACAAGGAGCGGGGGGGTTGGATGGGTCAGGGGTTCTGAGGGGGGCAGGAATTGGGAGGGGCGGATAGGGGATGGGAAGGGAGGTGTTTTTGGGGAGGCACAGCCTTCCCTACCTGGCCCTCCATACAGTTTCGCAACCCCGATGTGGCCCTCGGGCCAAAAAGTTTGCCCACCCCGGTCTAGTAAGTGAAATTGTATTTCTCTCCTTTCTTTTTTTATATTGGGTAAAAGTGACATAAAAAATGTTAAACTCTCTGAATTACCAGCATGCCTTCTGTTTTTAGTGTGTCATTATTCAGGAGCCAATTGTCCAATTTACTAAAAAGATCACATTTAACCTACCAATTTTGGCTATTATGGTCTGGGAAGGAGCACAACCTTGGGCTCATAATGGACATTCAGTTGCAACCATGATTATGGAGTGACTGCTTATATTAAACTGCAGCTGTGTGTTTGAGAGAATGTGTTGGATTGCTTGCCCGTGTGGCCATTGCCTGGGGGTCCTGGGTCTGTTTTACAGATAGGCAACATTTGTGAATGTTGCCACGCCAATACATGGCTGTCCCTTCCGAGCTTCGCTCTTTTCGATATTTGTAAAGCGCTTATCTTGGTATCAAAATGTGAGTCCCCCCCCGTGTGTGTAACGATATACGGGGTGCCTGTGGCGTGAGCACGGGTTAGCGTGCGTGTGAGAAAGACAGAGGCGGAAAATCTGTGCCTGCCCAGCGGAGAGGGCTCTCTCGCGCAGCACCGCAAGCCGAGAGGGAGTCAGCAAGAGTCGGTACGGCCCATGCTCGCAGAGGACCGTGCCCCACCCAGCGCTGGGATGGGGGGGGCCTGCGTTACACCCTCGCAACCAAGCGAAGTCAGCCTGGCATGCTCGGGGCGCAGCTGGAGGAAGTAGGCGCGGAGAGCAGCCAGCCTGTTGCTGGGCGGCGCACAGCGAAGTGGTTCTGTAACACGCAGGGGGAGGGGAGAAATTGCTCCGACTGTAGGTGTAGCCCCGCCGAGATCCCACTCCTCGTCGCAGCGCTGCGGCCGCAGGAACCGGCCGGAGGGGAACCGGCCTGTGCGCTATTACGTCACCCCCGCCCCTCCCCGCGGCGGGGAATTTCCCGCGGGGAGGAGCGGCCAAGGTAGGGCCAGGAACAGCTGAGTCGGAGCAGCAGGAGGGCGCGGAGCTGCCGCCGCCGAGAGTCCCGGGCTGAGCGCGCGTGCGGAGCGGGCACCATGGCTGGTAAGTGTCCCCGGTGCGCCGCCGGCCGGCCTGCGTCGCGCGGGACCCCGCCCTGGGCGCCCCGCGCTCGCTGCCTGGGGCCCGCCGCCCTGCAGGGCTTCCCTGCCGCTGCAGGGCGGTGAGCTGTCGTGATACACGGGTGGGGTTTGCCGTGCAGGCTGCAACCGCTCTCGCTGCTTCTACACGTTTAAAAGCCTCTGAAACCCCGGAAGGACGGGGGGAGAGAGAGAAAGAAAGACACTGGGTTGTCTGGGGCTGCCTGCAAATAAAGAACCCTTTAAGCCTGTGACTACCTGCCTAACTTCTATGCAACTGGGAGTGAGCTGGGCTGGCGTGTCCTCACCCAGCCTGGGCAGGGCTCTGGGCTTGGCAGAAGGTACCTGCCTTCCATTCGTGCCGTTGAGAAGACACCAGCTGCCGCCAGAGTCTTGACTGACATTATCTCCCAATGGCAGATTTCTGAGTCTGACATGGCTGTTCACCCAGGGGCTACTGTGTGTGCAAGCTAACTAACGATAGCGTCCCCAAAACCCTTGTAAGAATATGACTTTAGTGTGACACACAGGAAGAAGTGAGGTGGGGAAGGAAAGAATTAATTTTTGTTGTTGTTGTTGATGAAGGGAAGTAGCAGTGTGAGAGCTGGTTGATGGGGAAGTCTATTCACATGACATGTGAGTTTCGAGTGTGTGGTTTTTGTGAGAGTATCTATAGAATTTACCAGACCAAATTCATCATGGGTATAAATGGCAGCAATTCTGTTGACTTCACTATAGTTGTGTCCCCAACATTTTAAATTCCTCTTTCCAGGATAAATCGTTAGGAAATCGAAGAGAATAATATTGAACAAGTGTAAAATATACACAGAAATGTGCCTGTCTGTTGGTGTGTTTTTGCAGCAGGAAAATAATATCCTTTCCTGAGGCAGTGGTTATTAACAAATGGTCATAATATATTAAGGCAGAGAGACTATACGCTGCCTAAAGTAATGGGGAGGAGCTTCCACCTAACTAACTTAAATGAAGCTTTTAGTTGAGAGCTTGTCACAAACTTTACACCATGTGAGATTTTCTGTGGTAGAGGAACAAAATTAAATAATCAGTTTATTTAAACAATAAATTATATATAAATTGTTTAAATATATATATGGCCAGGTAATTTCCTTGACATAGATGGGACCACATTTTCAGACTAGGGTACCTAAAGTTAGGCACCTAAATCTGGATTCAAGCAATTAAATATCTGAGTTGGCCCCAAAATCCCTGTTAAGATGCCTAAAATAGGTGTTTACGTGTCTAATTGTGAACGCTCACATTTGAAAATGTGGCCCCAATGTTCCATTTTGTTTCCAGGTGACGTATATAGGGAAATATAATAAGCATATTGTTTAAAGGACAGTTACATTCACTTTCCCCTCAACCCTCACATGATAGAAGGTGGGAGAGCAAGGCTGGTTATTTGACCAACATGGGCATCCTTTAACAAAAAAAAAAAAAAATTGTGGTGGCATGGGGGTTGGGCCTGGTTTAGGGCCTCTTGTGAGAACCTGTCCCTTACATAGAAATGAGCTCCATCCACTGCTCTGACATCTGCTCACATCTGGGGTAGGAGTGGTGGGCACTAACCCCCTTTTCAAAAACTTTTGGCTGTTTTGCTTGGTTGAAGCCCCTCCTGGGAGCCACTGTTTCTTCCCTCCTTTGATGCTTAACACCTGGGAGGAAGGCACTGGTTCCTACCCTGCCTTACCCTCCCATTAAGCAGATTTTTTTTTTGAAGGGGGCAGGGAGGGGGAAGGAAGAGAGTAAATGCCTGCCAGCTGCAGGGACCTTTGGAGGAGAGTCTCCCCTTTCTCATCAAGGCAGCCAAGAGACTGCCTGCTCTGCAAGCTGCCAGGAGCCTAGGCTCCTTCTTAGCTGTCATAGCTGGGAATGGGATTTTTTCCTGCTGTGAGGATGGGTACTCCCAAAGGATCCTAACGTGTCATTTTACCCCTTGAAAGGAATATAACAAAGCATTTAAATTTTAAAAATGGCTGCCATATTGGACAGTTGCTGCCCCTGATCGTCATGGCTTATGGCAATCTGAGTGTCAAGGGTAGAAAGCTGCACTTTAAAGCAATCACTCAGAACTTGCCTCTCACAATAGAAAATCTTCCAATTGCAAAGGTTAATGTGACCTGAAAAGCCCCAGTTGTTTAAGTAGTGTGTCTTGGCTCATGCATGCTTGCAGTGAATTATGAGGACCAATATATATTGCACATGAACAGGTTGTCAAAATTTACTCGTGATTTTTGGCTACTTAAATGTTTAGGTGTCCACCTTAAAGGGACCTGAGTTGTTTACAGTTCCTATAAATTGTCTCAAGTTGAGCACCTAAAATCTGAGTGCCTCCCTCCCCAAATCACTAGTCACATCTGAAAATCTTGGCCTATTTTTCTTATTCTGCCACCTAAAACTGTATTGCTAAAAAGGTGACAGTCATGATTTTTAGAAGCAATATTAAATCCTTGTGTGAGTAGCCCTTAGGTGGCCATAAGAAACGAGGTAGTGAACAAACATAACATTTGAATTAGTTAAAGAAAATGTTAAAAAGATTCTGATAACTTTCAAAATGGTTCATTGAAATCTAAAAGAGAAATGAATCATTGTTCAAATATAGAGGCTAAATTTACAGTATAAATTACAGTATAAATGTCTGGGGAAGACATCAGTTGGCTAATGTCAGCTTATTGCTCAACTGAATCCAGTTCACATCAGAACAGGTCATGGCCAAAATCAATTAGTATGAAAATGAGAGGCAATATCACAGATTTGGTAGCCAAAGGAATCCAAAGTTGTAATTTAGTTTCTCTTGGTCTCAGTGAAGCACTTGCATTCCACATCCTTTGAAAAGTTTGTCCTCTGGAATCTTTCATGGGGATTTAAAATTTTTAATTTTAGAGCTGGTTGCATTAATTAGAGAGGTTGCTGGGAAGAAAAGTGTTCCCAAACCTATATATGATTTGTGAATGTCTGCTCAGTCAACCATTGCCCGTGTGCATGTTTGATCTGCTCATCTAAATACTGGCTCTTAATCAGATAAATCAAATTATTGAATTCACACATTTTTAAAAAACGTATATTGTATTTTGGAGCAGATAAGCTGAAACAGTACATATCTATCTCTGTTATCTGCGACTAATATATTTTCAACTTATTAGTAATTGGTGAAGGAATTTTTCAGCAGGGGAAGTTCTTAACTTCCTAGTATTTGCAAGCTTCTCTTCTAGTTACTATTCTGTAATGTCACATGACAAGAAAGAAGTAGTACATGAAGCAGTTGTGCCTCTAAACTACCTCTGTTTAGAAGGTGCACAGTTCATGAATGCTTGGGTAGAGGGTTGCTCGTTCTGAATTAAGAATGAATTTGCACTTGTTTTAGGTTGCGTCAGAATATTTTATAGTAGATCTGTGATCAGTACTCCTCCCTGGCCTGCTATGGGGGCAGCAAATGCTTAAAATTTAAGGCCTAATTTTTCAGACGTGCCCACTGATTTTGGGGTATGCAGATTGGGGCACCTGGTCCACAGATTCTGAACAGGGTATCTACACGTGAGTTGGAAGGGCAGAATTTTCCCACCAGCGCCACCATAATGTCCATACCTAATGTACCCCACTGCATTGGGATTTTGTGCAGTGACTTTGCATTGTTGATAGTCAAACTCCCACCACTCTGTGGCCCGCCTCCACCTCATTCACACACTCAAGATACTGCATCAGAGTGCATGTGCATAGAACAATCCCAAGCTGAATGCCAGAATTGCGGAGTCTCATGACATTGACTCTTCACGCAGCCTGTCCCCTCTGTGTGGAAGAATCTGTGGCTCTGCTAGCTGATTCCATGATCCAGTTGTTTTTCCTGCAGTGCATTGAAAGATGCATGGTATGTCACAGCCAACTTCCCTTCGTTCTTCACCTTTCTGTGAACTCATCACTGAGGTACAACCAGACTTCCCAGATAATTCAGGAATTCCACTTGCAAATACAAATCCTTCCTTCAAGACAAATATTTTGCACATATTTCTCCTTCTCTATTTCCATTGCACGTCTTTGGGCATTAGGTATTCGAGTTAAAGGCAGAGCCATCCAATCCTTGAAAGCCCTTTACAGTCACAGCTGCACTTTTGCATCAGCTCTTTGGCAGTCATGGTAAAGAACCCGCTTCTTAATGGTAGACAGGGAAATCAGTATTTGTTTCCATATTTTAGTTTTAATTCTGTTGGCTTGTTGCGTATCTAACTGTCTATGCTTTCTCAGTTTGGATATGCTTTTTTTTGTCACTGATACAGAATCAAGTCCCAGATCTTGAATCAGTTTAACTTTCATTCCTTGCTGTACTCACATTGTCATTGATGGTTTCACTAGTTTCTCCCACTCACGTCATCAAGAATTTACCTCTCATTTTCTTTAAATTATGTATTGCAGTTTTCAGTGCATTCCTGCAAATACAAATGCAATACCATAACAAAAAGAGAAATAGGCATGCTGGGATACAGAGCACAATAATCCTATGGCCAATAAACATAAGTACAAATGAAACTATTAGTAGTTCCTTTAATATGGATTTGTAGGTTTTCTTCCATTTCGGTTTCATGTCTCAGTAGTTGACTAAAGGTAATTAAGCAGCATATTACTCTTCCAGAATTAGTCCTCGTTGCCATTGTAAGAATGTGTGTCTGCTTTAGACGTAGTTTATATTTCTTCTACTCTTAAAAAGTATGTGTTTCTGTGTGGAGGCCCTTTGTCTGTGTGAGTGGGGATTGTGAAATAGTCTCAGCTGTGTTGCTTTGGCAAGAGAACATTAATTTACAGAAAATGGGGACAAGGAATGGATGTCTAGTATTACTACAAAGAGTGATGATTTTCAGTCCCCATGAGCTTTGGTTCACACAAACCTTTTTGTGTTTCTTGTCTACCTGGTGCCTTCTTTAGTAAAGCTGTAGATGATAATTTGGTTCTTAAAGAAAGAAAATCAAATTAAAATTAAGTTTAATTTCTAATCTCTGGAGGTTACTGCGTCATTGGGTTCTGCTTTCCCACAAGCACACACCTACTGTTAAGCAGTGGGGGTGACTTAAGTAACCTTTATTTCAACCACAAATTAAATCTACATAAAGACAATTGAGGCCTGACTTTTAAAATGCAGTTGATATAATCAGTGAGTGAGACACTAACCCTTTCAGATGTGTATATTGAAGGTAAAATTATAGGTTAAAGTAGAGATATTAAAGTCCTTGAAGCAATTGCTATAAAACACAGTCATAACTGACAGGACTCTATATGGCTTTGACAGGTGAAGTGGGTGGGTGGAGTTGTGGGCACATGTACGTATATTTGCACGCACATGTGTGTATATCTATATCTCCTAAGTAACATGATGATTAGGCACTTTATAATTGCCTAGATAGATACTCATTTCTTTATTTTAATAATAATGCTTAGCACATCTATAGCAACTTCTATCTATAGATCCCAAAGTGCTCCACAAAAGTGTATATCTTTATCTCCATTTATAGATGAGGAAAACAAAGCACAGGGAGATAAGTGATAATGCCCAAGGTGATATAGCTGCTCATTGGTAGAGCCTCCTGACTCTCTGTATGGTGCCCCAACCACTGGACTATGCTTGTGAGAAAAGTATAAGTAGTTCTGAGTGTGTGAGAGACATTTGCACACAATTTATGGGGCCCAATTCTGAGAGGTGCTAAGAAACCTGATCTCCACACTGAAGTCACTCCCTGTGTTGCTTCTGTGGTTTTTGTTTTTGTTTTATCATCTCTGTTTCTATGATGTATTCTCTTCTCACTAGTCATGCTTCTTCTGTCCAGAAGACAGCATGTGCAAAAGCATACCTCAAGAAGGGGCAGAGCTTAGGAAAGGGACAACCCTTTTAAAAGAACAGGAGCCAGGATGATGGCCAGCATGTATTGAATATGTCCACTTATTTTCTGATGTCATTTCTAAAGTTGTCAAATGTTGACCTGGACATTCACTGGCTGGAAACTGGCATATTTGGTTACTTCCATTTTATGAGAAGTTGGCTAAAAACAATGTTAAGGCTTGTTTTGTCATTCCAAAAGGTTTCGGCAACAAAATATGAAATAGTGGAATCTTGGAAACTTGAGACATGAGACAAAATTCTCTTTGGTTCAGCTGATGGGTACACAGATGTAAAAATGTTCAGATTACTGGGGAACTTTTTGGTAACTTTCCCCAATTTAGAAACATCCAAATTGTCTCCAGCCTTGTTCATAGATTAATAGACTTTAAGGCCAGAAGAGACCATTAAAATCGCCTAGTCTGACATTTTGCATAATACAAGCCAAAGCACCTCACCAGTGGTTCCTGCATCAAGCCCATAGCTGCTGGTTGAGCTATAGCATATCTTTTAGAAAGACCTCCAGATTGATTTAAAGACTTTTCCCCCACAGCCAGCAAAAGAACTTCTATGCATATCACCATTCCATAGCTATCTATCAATATAAAAGTAAAAGTCAATAAGCTGTCATGCAGATGGAGTTCTTCTTTTCTCTTACACATTATTCTTTCAAGAGCTGTTGTGTCACTTAGCTTACTCCACTTTCCTGTTCTAGGAGATGAGTGATTTATAGTAGTCCAATAAGACATTTTGGGCCCAACAAATCTAGTAGGAAATGACATTCTTGTGAATCAGTACATGCAGGCTTTGAGTTGGTGAGTCCCAATGTTAGCCATAGTGGCAGCAACAAAAGGTTTTAATAAGAAGTTAATACTGAAGTGTATCTCTCCCCAAAAACTCCTATAGAACTGTCCAAAATGTATGTGGGAAGGAATGAGAGGATCTTCTATCTCTTTAATGTCTACTTTGGGTACAACAATTGAAGTTCTAACATTGTTTTGCTGACATGCTATAGGATCTTTGCTCCCAAATGTATGTAACTGTGTCATATTACCATTGCTGCTTCTTTGTAATGCACATCTAGCTTGTCTGTGTAGAATGTTGTTTTTTATTGAGCATGAGGTGTAAGTCAATGCAGAGTTTGACCATGTGTGTGTTCCAACTAAAATAATTCAGCTTCTAAACTAAACCTTTTATTTATTCATTTTTGCTTCTCCAGTATTTGCTGCTCACATACCACTAGACTGTTATGTCACTGCTTGACTGGCTAGCATTTTCAGTGCTGTTAGTGAGGGTAGAATTCACTGTAGTTAGACTTAAGTGGAGCCGAGGCCTTGTCCTGGCCCTCAGCAGAGGGTGAATATTACCCTGAAAAAAGTATGTAGACTCCTGCTAAGTCAGGATCTTTCCAAAGCCTTAACTAATGTCAGCCCCACCATCTCCTGAAACCCATTCCCTGAAAGTTGCCTTCTCACACATTGGGCCCTTTGACAGCTTCCCAGTAGCCTTTATTAAAATCTTGTGAGAACCCTTGGTGCGCATGCTGGCTCCCGTGGGAGGTGGACAGCTCAAAGTATAGCAGTGCAATTTCTGGGTCCACAGGAAAGAAACCAAAAGCATTAGGGGATTTTGCCTAATTTGCATAGAACTTATTGCTTCACTGCAGTAGGAGCTAAATCAATCGATTCAGGGGAAACACCTTCATTTTGAGGGGACTTGCATTCAGAAAAATTACTATAATTTAAAAGTTCAGCCATTCCCTTTGACTAATGATCTGTTCATTTTGACATTACGAAATAATCTTTCAGCAGACAGGCCCTCACCAGTGTCTAAGAGAAACTGAGCTCCATGGGGAGGGAACCTTGCTAATGATTATTTATATTACAACAGTGCCTAGAAGCCTCCTCCTCTGGGGCTCCCATTGTGTTCATATACACAGTAAGAGACAGACCCTGCCCTGAGGAGCCACCAGTCTAAATATATAAGACAGATGAGTGTGAGAGAGGATTTATCATCACCCCCAATTTCACAGAGTGGGAACTGAGGCACAGATAAACTAAATGATTTACCCAAGGTCACAAAAGAAATCTGGAGAAGATCCAGGAGTAGAACCTAGATCCCGATCCAGTGCTTTAACCATAAAGCATTCCTTCCTTTTGCTTTTTAAGCTGTATTGTATTGTAACCTTAAATATTTTCATTTTCCTAAAGGTGGGTCTGAACCCTGCGTAGAAATATTCGAGCAACCCAGGCAAAGAGGCATGCGTTTCAGGTACAAATGTGAGGGAAGATCAGCAGGCAGCATTCCAGGAGAACGCAGTACCGACAGCAATAAGACATATCCCTCTGTAGAGGTAATACTGTTGTTATCCGTAATTATTTTTTTCATTGCACCATGCTGCAGGTGTGCATGGGACTCTATACAGTAAATAAGTGGCCTGATTCTCCATTCTGTAATCCTGCTTTTTTGTTTGTTTTTTTCTTTCTCTATCATAACTTCACTGAAGCTGATGAAGTTACAACAACTAACATAACAGAGTGGAGAATAAGCCTCTTGGTTCCTACTCTGCAAAGCTTACAGTCTAAATTGACAGCAGTCAGACAAGCTGCAGAGGAAGGTAACAAGCCAGGGTGATGGAAGGAAGGGACACAGAGTATGCCTACTTGGTGGCTTGGGTTGTTCAGGATGGATTGGGTTTCTTCTTAGCTTTTTGTTTGTTCTGGGTACTTGCATAACTATGTTTTTTAACAATTGAGGGGGAATTAACTAGAGGACTAATTGCAGGTTCTGAGGAGGGTTTTGAAGGAGGTTGTCTGGGGTACAGGGTTTGGGAAGGGTGTGCCAGCTGCAGGATGTAGCACTGGAGAAGGCCCAGAGGTGCTTGTTGCAGATGGGAACAAAGGGAGCCTGGGGTGTGGTGAATTTGGGGGAATGTAGGGATCAAATAGATAGATACATATAACCAGTGATTCGGAGGTAGAGCTGTACAGAGCCTGGAAAACCCCAATGAGGAGTCTGAAGTTGAGGTGGAAAGGGATGCAGAGTCAATAAAACAGTCGAGAAAGGGGAGTGTTGTGGTCAGAACAGCAGGAGAAGATGATTTGGTAGCTGCATTATAGATAGATTGAATGGTAATAAGGTAGATGTCAGGAAGATAGGAGAGAAGAGATTCACAGTAGTCTAGGCAGGACATGATCAAGGCCTGGACAAGGATTTGGGCAGTAGAGATGAAAAGGAATGGATGAATTTTGGATCTGTTGTAAAGGAAACAGCCTCAGGCGTTAGCAACAGCCTGAATGTGTGGGATGAAGGAACATGAGTTTTGTGAGCCTGGGAAACGGGAAGGGTCACGGAAATATCTGCTGTGATGGAGAAGGGAGGGGAGGACTTGGGGAGGTAGATGAATTGCAGCTTTATTGTGTTGCTTTTAAGTTGATGGTGGGACATCCAGGAGTAACTGTATCAGGGCATGCGGAGGGGAGAGGTAGATGTGGGAGTCATCAATAGTTGAAACCATGAGTGGGGTTAAGATCCCATCGGGGTAATATATAAAGAGAGAAGAGGGGGCCCAAGGACAGAATCTTATGGCATACTAGCGAAGAGGAGAAAAGGGGAGACGATGGAGCCTTTAGGCAGACATTGAAGGAGTTGTCTGAGAGAGAGGTGGTGTGCCAGCTGCATAAAAGCCCCTGGAGATGAGCGAGAGTTGAAAAGGATGGTGTGTGGACAATGGGGCTGAAACAGCAGTGTGTAGCTCCACATCACAGATCAGAAGCAGTGCTATGAAATGGAACCCTGTCCCTGGAGCTCTGATTTGCCAGGGAATGAACAAACAGGAGGTGCCAGCCTCCCTCACTCTTTGACTGATTAAAGAGCTGGCAGGAAATCCCACCCTGTCTGTGTCTTGTTGGCTCTCTTGCAATTGGAGAAGGGAAAGGGACTCTGTGGGCTGCTAGAGAGGGCGTGTGGTGCTGCAGGGACATAGCAGGCTGAGTCCAGGGAGCAGCCTGAGCATGTGGCCCCTGTGACCTTGAGCAGTGCTGCACTTGAGGATCAGCCAGAGCCCGAAAGGAAGGAGGCCCCTGATCGTGTCTGAGAGAGCATGGTGGAGATGGTAGGTTTGCTGCTCAAGGTGACTGTTGCTAACAAAGCTGTGTGTGTTACCAATAGCAGTGTTAAAGTGATTTCTGGGTGATTTCCTGCATCCCAAAAGGCTGTAGGTGGGATTTCCACTCCAACGCCAGGGGTGGGAGTTTGGAACTGACTATCAGCAAAGAGAACCAGCCTCCACCATAGGTGGAAAGGTCCAGGAGGGCGAGGGTAGAGAGGAACCCTGTGGGTTTAGTGAGAGCAGTGGGGTGGAAGAGGTGAAAATCTGATTGCAAGAGTAAAGGAGAGAGTTAGCAGGGAAGGAAGTCAAAGCAGGAAGAGTTGGCTGCATGCTGAAGGGCTTAGGTGTGAAGAGGAGGTGGGGGAAAGGAGTAAGTATTTAGAGAGTTTGGGATTATTCTTAGGGTAAGCAGAGACCGTGACATATCTGAAGGCTGAGAGAAAAGAACCAGATGAGAGACGAGTGAGAGAGCACGAACGAGGAGGGAATGAGGGAGGTTTCAGAGTATTATGGAGACCAGGATCAGACAAAGGGATGGAGAAAAAGACTACAATGAATGCTTCATCCTCAGAGATGGGGTGGGGGCGGGAAGAAAATGTTGAGGGAGGAATGGAACAGTTTTGAGGCGGGGGAAGTGGAGGAGGAGAGCAAGTATCACAGTTAACGTACACCCCTTAACATATCTGTCAGATATGTTTTCAAGCTGTTACTTTCAATCAGTTTAGGCCAAACTGTGCCCTTAGATTCACCCACGTAACCCTCACTGACTTCACTGGGAGCTATCTGCCTGAGGGCAGAATTTGGCGCACATATCTGAAGCACACTGGGAGTTAGGCTCACAACTGTCCTAAAAAACCTATTGGGAGTGGGAGGTTTTGTGCAGCTCCATGCACAGTGTGCTGATCATTTTGCCAAAGGCTCAAGAGGGTCTTTTCTCTTAAAATGGTCGTATGGCTCAAAGCTGTAATGATAACGTTATAGGTCTTGTACAGCATACTTTACTTGGGAAAAATCTCCTGTTGCTTCAACAGATGGGAATCTCGCCTGTGTAAGGGTTCATACCTTTTTTGGATCAACTAATGGGCCTAATCCAACTCCCATTGAAATAATGGAAAAACTCTCATTGATTTCAGTGAGAGCTGAATCTTGCCCTTCAGTGGGAGTCCCTGTGTGGCCCTGAATGCGGAATTGGATGTATTTGTAATGAAAATTAGGCATGGTAATAAAATATACCTTGTAATGTCAGGGCAAAATGCACCCCACACAGAGTGCCTGCATGAAGCTTACGCAGCACGTTAGGCGCTTTGCACAGGGGCAAATTTAGCTTCTAGATCCTGATGCAAAGTCCATTGATCCAACATAAATACGCCCACTGACTTAGTGAGGCATTGAGTCAGGCCTATGGAGAGTTCTCTGAGTCGAGATTAGAGGGACATTGTTTTCACAACAACATGGAGTAGAAAGAATTAAAATGTAAAAGAAATCAATAGTTTGACAATGACCAGTGAATTTCTTGACTACAAACCTCTTGTAACTTAGCCAGGCTGGTTAATGATGTGATTTATTTTTCCAAATAAAAGCCTAATTCTTTCTGGACATTTCAGATATCTATATTTTGTCAGACAAATGGCTGAAATACACTATATTTTTATTTGTAATTGTTCCATCTCTGGCTTTCAATGTGAAATGAATGGTAATTTGATGAAACAGCCTCTGAATTTTCAGGAGAAAAGGATTGGTTTTCATTTCTAGTGCAACAATTAAGACAAACTGTATTCCCACTTATCCATAGGACCTTGTCAGTGTCGCCTGTCCACTGTCCAGAATTATGCAATCTTTTAGAGCGATGTGATTTAGAATTTAAGTGTATTTCTCCTTAAATTTTTGCAGGTTCTGAACTTTGATGATAAAGTGAAAGTAAGGATTACATTAGTGACAAAGAATGAGCCCTACAAGCCGCATCCTCATGACCTGGTTGGAAAAGACTGTAGGGATGGCTACTACGAAGCAGAATTTGGACGAGATCGCAGAGTCCTATCGTAAGTAGCAGTGTTGTTGAGTTTTAGACTAAAAATGTCAGTGATGTGCTGGAGAGGCTCTCAAGGGTCAACCAGGAAACCTTTGTTAAAATCCCACCACCAGACTGAAAGGACAGTTGGAATGATTTCCTTGCCAGAGCTGGAGTTCTCTCCCCTCTGTGTATTCTCCTAACCCATCCCTGGCACCCTACAAAATATTTCTGAACAGAAGTGTCTTTTTGCCTTTGGAATATGCTATTTGTTTAATACCTTATTTAGTCTCTTCCTTTCCCATCCTCCTGCCTCTGTTTCTCTTTCTTTCTTGACTTTATTTCTCTTTTTTCTTTCCTCTGCATTTCCTATTAGGCAGCTCCTAATGCCCACCTCTTGTGGGCTTGACTTCCAGCCCTTTCCCACTCTATGCACTAAAATGGTCAGCCGTGAAATAGGTAATGATGATACTTAATTTGTCATCATTAGAATCAACACTCTCTAAGGAGATTAATGGAGTTTAGGAGAGTAATAATAATTTCATAATAATTGTTTCAGGCTTTCGTAGGCTCAGGAAGACAACTCTGCATTGATTAACACAGCATTCACATTTGGAAGGTTATCTTTGCATGGAAACTTACCAAAGGCCTAGAAACTTACCTTATTTTTTAAATGAACACTTATAACACTAAATGTCATGCAGGCCCATAAATAAATCAAGCAGGCCAGGTGTTTGGAGACAGTGGATTAGAGGATCCCAGCATGGATATTTCAGCCCTTCATCATTCTAAAATACATTATTGTGTGTGTAAGATTTTGGAGAGAAGACAAATACTGAGGCCCTGTCTGTTCAGCATGGACATTAAGGCCCTGAGACTTCTGAAAATCAGGCCTCTTTCAGAAAGTACTGAGCCACCTACTCTCTGAAAATCAGGCCTCTTCAAAGTGTCTCCTATTAGGCACCCCCAAATCACCAGTTGCTTGTGAAAATCTTGGCCTAAATTTGTTGACAGATATGTACCATCATAAATGGGTTAGCTATAGCTAAAGATAGAAATAAGATGATTGAAAGGGAGAAAGTAGCTGGAAAAGAGCAGTGGGCTAAGAATTGTATCCTGTGAGACTCTGTAGAGGAGTCTCAGCAGCAATGGAGTTACCCTTTGAGCCATATTCAGCCCTGGTGTAAGTAGGCACAGCTCCAATTTAATGCTGGTATAGCTACTCATTAGGGTGTTATGAACATTTCAGTTAACTGCTGCATGCAAGGGAGTTGCTAACAAACATATGTATGCCATGTAAGATGAAGGTAAGAGCATAACCTACTGTAGGAGATATGGACTTTGGTCGTTCTTCTATAGAAGAATTCACAACTGTGTCTGTTCACTCCTTATGGTCTGTAATCTTTGGAAGTTGATTATTGCTCTTGAGAAAACAAAATGTTTACAAACTAGACTGTGCAGAGTGGGGAGGCTGGTGAGAAAATAAAACTAATACACCAGGATCCAGACTGTGATCTGTTAAACTATGGTTAGGGCCTTCTGCAGCTATCCGGGCAGGGACAGGATTTGTCCAAGAGTGACTATACTAGTGCACATGTGACTATCGCTGTGTTAAGATTTGTACTACCCTGCTTTGATAATATACTGGTTTTAATATGTCTCCCTTTATTTTCCTCTCCCTCCTTCCCCCACTTCTGTTTCCCCTGCTCCTTGTCACGCAGCTGGCACTGAAGTAGGGCCGCCTAATTTTGCTGTATATTCATAGAATCATAGAATATCAGGGTTGGAAGGGACATCAGGAGGTCATCTAGTCCAACCCCCTGCTCAAAGCAGAACCAATCCCCAATTAAATCATCCCAGCCAGGGCTTTGTCAATCCTGACCTTAAAAACTTCTAAGGAAGGAGATTCCACCACCTCCCTAGGTAATGCATTCCAGTGTTTTACCACCCTCATGGTGAAAAAGTTTATCCTAATATCCAACCTAAATCTCCTCCACTGCAACTTGAGACCATTACTCCTTGTTCTGTCATCTGCTACCACTGAGAACAGTCTAGAGCAATCCTCTTTGGAACCCCCTTTCAGGTAGTTGAAAGCAGCTATCAAATCCCCCCTCATTCTTCTCTTCCACAGACTAAACGTCCCCAGTTCCCTCAGCCTCTCCTCATAACTCATGTGTTCCAGTCCCCTAATCATTTTTGTTGCCCTCCGCTGGACTCTTCCCAATTTTTCCACATCCTTCTTGTAGTGTGGGGCCCAAAACTGGACACAGTACTCCAGATGAGGCCTCACCAGTGTCGAATAGAGGAGAATGATCACGTCCCTCGATCTGCTAGCAATGCCCCTACTTATACATCCCAAAATGCCATTGGCCTTCTTGGCAACAAGGGCACACTGTTGACTCATATCCAGCTTCTCATCCACTGTAACCCCTAGGTCCTTTTCTGCAGAACTGCTGCCGAGCCATTCGGTCCCTAGTCTGTAGCGGTGCATTGGATTCTTCCGTCCTAAGTGCAGGACTCTGAACTTCATCAGATTTCTTTTGGCCCAATCCTCCAATTTGGCTAGGTCAGTTTCTCTTTCCTGCTCCAGCCCCTCTGCTCAGCTGCAGTGATGTGGTCACTAGCCAGTCCTTTTACAGTGATACCCAAGCATATTTCAGAAAAGGGTGAGACTTTGTACGTTTTGAGTACCCGTTGGTTAAGGAGCTTTTAGTTTAAAAGTCCAGTTTGGCCCACAAGATGACTGGTACTTGATAGTTATGAATAATCTACAGCAGTAGAATAATTGCAGTCAGTTTTTATGTAGCAGATAATGTTTTTGTTATGTATTTAATTGACAACTATAATTTACAATGCTCTGATAGTACAACAGGCAGAGCCTAAAGTGCTGTGTGCTTAGGTTGCTTTCTGAGTTGGCGTCCTACTTTCTCTAACTCCCTGTCTGCAATACAAACACAACTGGTTACAACACAGTTGTGCCCCTATTTTGTAGTGTGGAGGGGACCTTAACCCTCTCTCCAAATTGTTCGAAAGTGCTGGGCTGTCAAATTGTAATTTGGGGACATGATCCAGATCTCATCTGTACCACTGAAACATGCTTTAACTGTGTTTGGGGGAACAACTGTATTCTATCCAGGTTTCCCCCAAAACAATTGCCTTTGTAGTGTAGACAAGGCCTAAAAAAATAGTCCCTATAAAACAAAATGATACAGCAATAACAGTGCAGTCTAATATTCTCTGCAAACCCTAAATACTGGAAACCAGAATTGGAACCAAAGTCATCTAATTAAATCATGAGACAGCACTGCATTTTTTTAAAAAATCAGAATTCAGTCCAGTTAGACAAACACCTGTCTGTGATGGTCTAGAATGATCATACTTAGTCCTGCCATGAGTGCAGGGGACTGGACTAGATGACCTCTCGAGGTCTCTTCCAGTCAGTCTTACGATTTTATGAAATGAGGCTTATATTAGCCCTTCAGTGAGTTAGTTCTCTAACTGCAGTATGGCCTTAGAATGTGGGTGGGGGTGGGGGAGAGAAGGGGAAGGAAGATGACTGGATTTCTGTAGAAAGGGATGGATTCAGCAGTAGCAGGATGGGACTGAGGAACTTTCAGGGCAATGTTGGCCCATCGTTGAGAGAGACAGATGGTAGTGCTACGTGATCAGGAAGTGTCTCAGGAAGTCTCCAGGCATAGCTCAGGTAAAGAGTATTTGTGGGGTTTCTAGGGAAGGGAATTGCCAGTACTTCTGGAGGCGCAGCGGAACCTGGTGGCATAACTGACTCCTGTGTTCTAGTGATATTACAGTGTGTTCAGATTCTTACTTCCTACTTCCCCACCCTGCTTTGATGATGTCATGGTTTTTCCATGTGGGAAAGAATCAAATTGTGGGGACTCCCCCCACCTCCTTTGCTGACTTGATGTAGTCATATGCAAATGAGGAGGAACTGTAGCTCTTTAGAACTTTTCCATAACTAGACGAGATTTCAAACTTTATAAAAATTAACTTCAAAATACTGTTGCAGATTTGCATTTCCGGGTGTGAGACTGTGGGCCAGCTCCTCAGCTGATGTAAATTGAAGTAGCTCCTTTTATGTCAGTTTACACCAGTTGAGACACTGGTCCTCTATATATTTTTAGCATTGCTAGGTCACTATATTCAAACTCCAGTGATAACTCTTTTTAATGTAAAAAAATATTCCCCTGTTTTATTTTATGTAAATTCTTTTCTTTTTGTCATTACCCTTATTTTGGAAATATAAAACCATCTTTTTAAAAGCTCTTTTGCCATCTTTATTTCCTACACAATTTGTTAATAAGATATATTTTTGACAAAAGATCGTACAATTTGATTCTTTACAGGGAGGATTAGAATTTAGCTTTCGAATATCTATGCCAGTGATTAAGTGAAACAGTTTTTGTTGTTGTTTTTAATCACATTGTTACATGTGCTCTAGTTTTCAGAATTTGGGCATTCAGTGTGTTAAAAAGAGAGACCTGAAAGAATCAATCTGTTCACGAATCGCAAGAAAGATCAATCCATTCAGTGGTGAGTAGCTGTTAATAAACAGTTTGAAATGCATGTTAAAGAACTTGGACAGCAAAGCGATTTAATTTGCGAGCACTTTTTATTATAATGCCCTGGCTCTTTTGATGGAGATGTATTTTAAAATATAGGCTTTTAGATACTGTCAAATCTCTTCCCTTTAGCTTCTTTATTCCCCCCCCTCCTTCCTCACTCTCATCCTGTGATTATTCTGTTCAGTAGGTTGCTCAGAGGTGAAAGTAAGCCAGTACTGGGACCAGCTTTCCCAGATGGCAATCTAAAGCCCTGGGGTAGCAGCGGCGGGGCTCTGGCGGGGATTTAAAGGGCCCCAAAGCTCCAGCCCCCGATACTGCCCCGGCCCTTTAATCCCCACTGGAACCCTGCTGCCAAAGCCCTGGTCTCCTTTCTCAGGTAGCAAGGGTTTAAGGGTCCTGGTTTAAGGACATTGGGCTGCAGGAGGAAACTTCCCCAGGAGATCCTCCAAGTGTCCCATGAATGAGGCTCTCAAACTCTGCCAGGCATAGATTGAGTTAGACTATTAGCAGTTTCTTGCTGACACACCGCTTTAATGACAGGTTTTGTAGCTGAACTGTGAAGGGTTAACATGGCAAGGAAAATATTTAAATCAATTATTCCAGGACTTGTTGAAAAAAAAACTGTGTGGCAAACTTGAAAAAAAGTGTGTCAATACAACAATCAAGTTTCCTAATCATATTTTTGTTTCTCTACTGCTATTTTTGGAAGATACTTGGGTTTAACAGGTTACTTGCTTGCAACTACAGCTGCTGCTTGATCCCATAGTAAAAGCATAATGATGTGTTTGACATCAGAATCCATTGCCATGGCATTTTGTGATATCAGAAATCTGACTGCCTCAAATAGGTGGTGAAGACGGATTTCTAAAGGGACTGATCCTGCAAAACCTTATTCACATGAACAATACTTACTTTTGAGTGTGCATTCATCAGGCCCAGAGTGTTTGAAACAGGGTGAATAAAAATCCATTATTTAAAAAAGAAACTTTACAGAAATTAAATCAGATGTCCACACTTACATGTTGTTGTTTCTTTATTTTCTTCCCATTTTTATAGTTTTAAATTGCTGGAGTGGATATCTTGCACTTGTTGCTTTGATTAGTTTCCTCTAACTGTTAGAAGAATTCAGATTTGTACATGAAGACTTTTCTGTTCAGAAGTTTCACATTTAAAATGCCCATCTTATGCTGTAAAAGACATACCTGTGGCCTCTTTAATATCCTCACTGTGAAAACAGCACAAACAGAAACACAAAATTGAAAAGCAAGTAGCCTGTTCTATATTCACAGCTAACACCACCTTCTGATCCACTGAACTTTCCACAAGTCAAAAAAGCTGAAATGTTCTTGAAAATCCCAACCTTGATACCTAAATAAGGATTTAAATGCCTAACTTTAAGCTTTAAAAAAAAAAAAATTCCATATATGTATAAAAAAGTTCACAATGTTGTTAATGTATTGAAAGTCTAAATAACTTTTATTAACATTAAAGCAATTTTGTTTTGACGTGACAAAGACTTTGTGCCACTAAGAGGGAAGTTTTTAATACAAATAAAATGATGGGTGGAATAGCCTAACCCTTTCATTATTTCTTTTTACCAGTTAGGTCTGATTTCTGACACATCAGTTTTGGACCATTGATTTCTGGTCTACACTGCTTTTGTTTAGCAAGCATGGTCTTAACATGTCTTTGAGTTATAGTAGCAGATCTTTTTGTTTGGATTACTTCAGTTTTACTGTGTCCCTTTTGCACCTTTGCCCATCTTCACTGATTGTTATAAGTTATTGTGACATTTTTATGAACTTTCACTTCTTACTGTTAAGCTCATGATCAGGGTAGGCCTAATTATCACAACAGGGCAACACCGAAGTTATAACTCTCAAGTTAACTTTGCAATGAAGACTATATATGTATTGTGAAGAATTTGTGAAAAAATCTTTCTCAGCACAGTTTCCCAGAGGATTAGCACTGTTAGCCAGAGCGGTCCAGTGTGAGAAACCAAGAGTGCTCCATCCTCCTGGCTGCTGGGCGATGGCATGTGCATGGGCTTCCCCCCTAGAATTTGGCAAATGGATGCTGCTGAGGGCCCCCATTCACTTTAATGGTTTTGCCTAGTAAGTGGTGGATTAGTCTTGAGAACCCACTTCCTTCCCCAGTTACTAAATTAAACTTCCGCGTCGTCCCCATTTTCTCCTTTGTTCTGCCTCTCCTTGCTGCCCCTTCTTACCCGTCCTTCATTTCTTCTCTCATAGATGATCCCTCACTCACTTCACAGTAGTCACACTCTCCACAACTCCCACTCACACCCACACATCACATTCTCACAGACTCACCCACACATGACCGTCATGCTCCCCTCCCACACACCCCCATCACTCTCTCCACAACTTCCCTCTGCCAGCCACGCTCTGCAAGACCCCCTTCCCCTCCACCATGCTTTCCTACCCCAGCCACACTCTCTGAAGACCACCTCCCCTGCACTGCCCCCTCACTACCACTTTCCTCTGCTGATAGGACTGATTTACACTAAGGCTTACTAAAGTCACTGAATGAACACAAGAGTTCTCTTTAACACAGGAGAGGATCTTTAAGAGGGAACTTTCAGAACATTTTGTGAGGTGCAAAACAGCAGAAGTCTCTGCAGTGGATGTCTCAGCTATTTAAAGGAGTGATGTTCTTAAAAAAAACAACTAGAAGCAATCAGCCTAAATTCTCAAACTGAAAAATTCACTGAATGACAACCTACCAGTTTGTTTGATTAGTACTAGGTAAACCCACTGAGAAGAGCGAGACACAATCCTCACCCAATTACATTTGTTTGAGAAATCCTTTCATTCCTTCACCACCGCCACCCCCATGCATACACTCCTTCCTGTTTAATCTTATGCTGAAATTTGGACTTTTGCTTAAAGTGAAAGCTTTGCAAATTATTTGAAGTTGGGGGGGGGGGGGGGTGAGTTAGTATACAAAATTGGAAGCATAAAATTATTGTTGCTAAAGGAGACGCTACGTGGCTAAACTGAGGCTTCAAAAGAGATCTAGCTGAGCTTCATTTGACAGCTGCTGGATAAGTTCCCTTGGAGATGGTTCTTCAGTTCCAGTTTTTAGGTTAGATTGAAAACAGGAAGAGAAGCTTGTCTAAAGACAGAATTGGCTACGTAGAGCAGGACACTGTGACTCAGTCATTTTTATTTCCATTCTAATTCTGCCCTTGACTTGTGTGTGACCTCATAGCTTTTCTGGGCCTCAGTTTCCTCGTCTGTAAAATGCTTTCCTACCCTTTGAAGCACTTTAATATGTGTGGAGAAGAGACAGACTTACTCATTGCTATTAATTTTAGTTTTTACTGGCTAGTTGGCTTCCTAGATGCTTTTTTGGTGATGGGCACTACATAAAATCATGAGACAGTGTGAGATGTTTCTTCCACAGGTTTGCTGTAGCGAAATCCCATTGATAGTGTATAGGGCCAAATTCTGCCTTCAGAAAGGCCAGGTATCTCTCTTCGAAGGAGCAGTTGTGACTTAACTTCACGTAGCCCTGCAGGGATGTAAAATCCTCACTTCACCACCCCTGCACACAGTGCAGGACCTACATAGGCATGTGGGGAGAGCAGGGACTGCATGCCAGGTATTTTGCTCTTGCAAGTGAGGTGAAGGGAGTAGCTGGAGCCATCTACTCCCCAACTTTGCACCAGTCTGGAGGCGAGGGCTGGAGTAAGCGGAATCTGGTAGTGGGCAATATAACTCTCAACCCCTGCTCTAAAGGGGTTTTGGAGGAATTGTCTCAGAGGAGTATCTTCGAGTCAGTCTTTTATGAGCTACTCCCAAGGCAGTGCATCTACATGCCATCCCTTACACAGGGATGAGAGTAAACACTGAGTCTAGCCCTCAATCTGTATGAACTGGCTGCATAGTGGGAATGTATGTGGCCTAGTGAGTGAAGTACAGTTTTTGATCGTTAGGACAATAGTCAAGTTGTATTTGTTAGAGAGGTAGAGGCTTAATTCTGCTCAGCAATATGTGCATACTGTGTGAGTTACTGAGGCTACAATGAGTCCCTTGATCAATTAAGCTGGTATTCTTAACACCGCCCTTTCTGCACACTTTGCATTTTATAAAATCAGCACAAGGCCTTTTGGCAGCTTGGCACTTTTGCCTCAGAAGTTTCCATGCACGTTAAGGTTAGATGCTGAGTTGCCTGCCTTTCAGTTCTAGAGTGGGTGGCTTCCACAAGTCAGCTTGATGTTCTTGCTTGGGGTGGGAGGGAGGAGTCTGCTATTTATCAGGTATGGTGACCTCTAACAAGCTGCACCTACCTCATCTATACTTCTTTTCAATATTCCAAATAACCTTTCACTTTCCCTATACAATCTCATCACAAGAGAACTTCAGTCTTTAATCCCAAAATAATTTCACCTGATAGTGTATTGGTCCTTCTGGCAGCTTTAGGCCATGTCTACACTACTACTTATGTTCACAAAACTTATGTCGCTCATTGGTGTGAAAAAACCACACACCTGATCAACATAAGTTTCGCTGGCACAAGTGCTCGTGTAAACAGCGCTGTGTTGGCGGGAGCGCTTCTCCTGCCAACATAGCTACCGGTGCTCGTTGAGGTGATTTTATTATGTTGACGGGAGAGCTGTCGTTCATCAGCGTAGAGTGACTACATGAGTGATCTTACAGTGCAGCAGCTGCATTACTGTAGACATAAAAAGAAGGGCTTGATTTTACCAGTGGGTTGGTTCACATTTATGCCAGGAACTTGGAATTACACAGTGATGAATCAGGCCCAGAATTTTTGCAGTTTAATGTTACAGAAGCAAGAAAAATGAGCTCTCCAGAGATGCATAATTCCATAGAACCCAACTCTTGGGGCTGTATTGCTAGTGAGAGAATGGCAGAGAACGTTCCTTTCTGTCTGTTTATCTTGCCCCATCACCGTAGCATCTGGGCATTTCACCCAAGT